CTTCCCCATTTGAAATGCATTAATGATCCAAATCTTAAAATGAGAGAGAAATATTTTTCAGTTGTGGATTAAGGTTAAGAATGCTGATTAACGGAAGTTGTTAAATGAACTCTAAATATGTTATTTCAAAATTGCCCATAGCTATCTGTGCAGCATCACTATAGGTATCAGTTGTGATGTTTCAACAAACCTCAGGACAGTGAAATTAGAATCATAGAATTGTTTAGGTTGGAAAAGATGCTTGAGTACAACCATTAACCTGACACTGCCAAGTCCCTAAGTGCTATTTCTGCATGTCTTTTAAATACCTCGGGATGGCGACCACCACTTCCCCGAGCAGCCTGTTCCAGTGCTTGACAACTGTTTTGGTGAAGAAATTTTTCCTAATGTCCAATCTAAACCTCCCATGGTGCAGCTTGAGGCCCTTTTCTCTTGTGCTATCGCTTGTTACTTGGGAGAAGAGGCTGACCCCCACCTCACTACAGCCTCCTTTCAGGTAGCGTGAGAAGGTCTCCCTCAGCTGCCTCTTCTCCAGGCTGAACAACCCCATTTCCCTCAGCTGCTCCTCCTGACACTTGTTCTCGAGTCCCTTTGCCAGTTTCCTTGCCCTTCTTTGGGCTCACTCCAGCACCTCAATACCTTTCTTGTTGTGAGGGGCCCAAAACCGAGCACAGGGTCTGTGGTGCAGCCTCACCAGTGCCAAGTTCAGGGGGATGATCCCTTGCCTAGTCCTGCTGCACACACTGTTGCTGACCCAGGCCAGGATGCCATTGGCTTCTTGGCCACCGGGGCACACTGCTGGCTCCTGTTCGGCCGCCTGTCCCTCAGCACCCCCAGATCCTTTTCTGCCTGGCGGCTTTCCAGCCTCTCCTCCTCAAGCCTGTAGCACTGCCGGGGGTTGCTGTGACCCAAAGGCAGGATCTGGCACTTGGCCTTGTTGCATATTGTGCAATTGTCCTCGGCCCATGGATCAAGCCTGTCCAGGTCCCTCTGTGAGAGTCTTCCTACTCGCAAGCAGATCAACACTCCTGCCCAGCTTGGTGCCATCTGCAAACTTTCTGAGGGCACGCTTGATTCCCTTGTCCACATTGTCGATAAAGATACTAATTAAACAGAACTGGTGCCAATCCTGAGTCCTGGGGAACACTGCTTGTGACCAGCTGCCACCATCGGTCTTTGAGCTCGGCCTTCCGGACAGGTTTTCAGCTAGTGAAGAGTATGCCTGTCCCAAGGCAGGAGCAGCCAAGGTCTCCAGGAGAAGGCTGTGGGAAGTGGTGTCTGTCAAAGTCTTTATTGCAGTCCAGGTGAATTTTGGTAATTCCACAATGAACATTGACATTTTTGGAAAGCAAGAGGGCTGCATGTCTTATTAAAATAATATCTTTGAAAGCTGATGGTTTAGATAAGTGTTTTTAGATGGATGCTGTCAGGAAATAAGTCTTTTTAACTATCTACTAGAATATGAAGATTCATAAAATCACTTGGATTTTATTCCTCATTTACAGACCTATGCTCTGTACCAGCACTCTTTCTCCACACTTAATATGTCTTTGAACAAGTTTCTTTTCAGACTTCTAGTTTTGGCCCTCTTCACTGTAAGACACATTTTTAGTAAAGGCCACTGTGTCTGGTCAATACTTGATTTTCACACATGAAATGCATGCATTGGAACTAAATTTCATTAAAATCTGTAGTTTTTTCATGATAATATTTGAAAATATTTCTTTATAAGGCATGGTTTTATGTAGCCATGCAGCACTTCTAGTGTTGCAAAATTATGCTTTTATTTTCATCAAAAAAGGACTAATACAACTTTCAGACTCTTTGAGAGGTGCAGCCTGACTTTTCATCTCCATTGCAAGACTTTGTTGTGGAAATAAATTTACAGGGAGACAATCAGTGATGGGCTTTCATCTGTTAAAAGTGTTGCTTGTGGAAAAGCCAATACAGAACTTCTAAAAAAAGGAAACTTGAAATATTTCACGGTTTAGCTTTTGCCCTTGGAAATGGCATAGATCCGTATCAGAAACACTGTGGGCTCTTACAGGAAGACTTGGAAGAGGAGGTGCTGGGGGCTGTTCTCGTACCTGCCAAAGGAGCGTGCTGCTGTGTTTCACGCGGAGTGTGAATGTGGTACAGCTTTAGCTGAGTACTCCCGGTGCCTTCCTTGCAGGAAGCTGGCTGCCTTTCCAAGAATGCACCTCTGTGGAACCGTTCCGCTTGATTTGCTCTGTGTATTTTGTGTACGCAGCAGTCTCTTACTTCTGTGGGGGTTTTGTACACGTGGGTAACTTTGGGTGAGGGTTGGGGCTTTTTTTTTTTTTCTTTGACAAATCATAACTTTCAGAGCTTTTTGTAACTTTTGTGTCAGAACAGTTATACAGCTAACGTAACGGGAAGCGTTTGCTGAAATTTGGTGTCTAAAGTGAGCTTGTGTTGATTTCAACTAATATGGCTGACAATAAAGAAAGAATTGACTGTCTGAAGACGAGTGGAAAATCACCATTTCCTGTTCTTGATAAGTGTATTTTCATCTCATGGGTAAGATGAAGGGACTGTGAAGTGAAATGAAATTAAATTAAATGGTTTTCTGCTAGGAAATTTTAGTTGTACAGAGCAATACCCTCATCCTGAAGCTACAGCCCTTAAGAGCTCTTGTCATCTAGCTGAGCACACGCTGCAGATAGCTTAAGCCAGCCTGCACTGGCACAGGTGCCTTGCAGCTCAGCTTTGGTTTTGGTGGAGGGGACCCTTGAAAAGCAGAGATGAGTAAAGGGGGTTTTTCCTGGAGCAATTTTAAATAGAAGCTGTGGTGGTTTGGTTTTTTTGCAAAAAACCAAACAAACAAACACCAAACCTCAAACCACTATTTTACTGTTAGAATTACCATCAAGACCTATGGGGATACCAGTTTTATTTAAGGTAACTACCAGCATATGCAGTCTGTTTCTTGGTGAGGGGCTAAGTACATGTCTATAAGCATGAGACCAGTGCTAGTAAATATTCTATACAGCAGCACGGCAAAATTGCAGGGAATTACTGCCTGTATAAACTTAGATAAAGTGCTCTTGCTTCCTGGGAATTCACCTCAATCCCCTTTCTCAATCTGAGACTTACTGAGATTGCAAAATGCCTACATTGTGGAATGTTTGCAGGTTTAAAGGGTAGCCAGTTTGAGGTTGCTTTTTAGCTTAACTGTACCAGAATGTACAAACCCAGAGAACAGTCTCCCAGGTGCCCCTAGATGTGTTATATTCACCCAGTGTGCACAAACAGCCTGTGTTGTGCTAGGCCAGAAAGGAACCATCCATTCAAATCCTGCCGTGTGCTCAGAGGCAGCTTGCCTAGTTCTGTTGCAAAAGCAACAGTTTTGGCTGCAGCTTGTTTCTGTGTGACAGGGGCTGTGCCGTGGAAAGCAGGCCAAGAGGGTATGGGGAAAAAGTGCTCAGGCTGTTACCTGCTGGAGCACAAAGCTGGTGCTTCACCTCAGTTACTGCAGGGAGCTCCAGCATTGCTGCTGCCCTCCTTGTTGGAGACAAGTCCAGGGGATGCAATCCAAGATCTAAAGATCCCATTCACCTCTTGCAGTTATCCAACTTAACAGGAATGATTTTCCAGGGTAGGTTTTTGGGGGTTTTGGTTTGGTTTGGTTTTTTGTGTTTTGTTTTTTTTTTTAAATCAAAACCAAAAAGGTAACAGACAGGGCTACTTGTGGCCAGCAGAGAGGGCGCTTCAGCAGATGTGTGCTGCAAGGACGTAAGTCATCACTAGGTTGTGAACCCAGTTGCAGTGAAACACAGCACTGCAGTCTGCAGTAACAGAGCTGTTCCACTGTTAAGTGTCAGGTTCATGGGCCTGGGGGACAAAGTTATGTCTGACCCCCTGCTTTTTACAATATTTCCTTGTCATTGGGTTAGGGTCCACACTGTTCCATTTAGAGGTACAGAGTACTAGAGAATATCTGTCCTGCTGCTCCAGGCCTGTCTGTGGAAAATGTCTCTTCTTCCCTTAAGCTGAATTCTTGTCTGAAGTCCAGTGATGTCCAAGTTAGCTGCTGGTACCTTGTTAGTTCAGTTTGTTATTGCAGCTCTTTTTGTTATGCCTCTGTCCTTCGATTCCAGCAGCTAACTGTTCTAAGTGACAGAGTTGTGAATGGGGCAACTACACATCCCTCTTCTGCAGAGAATTTAAAGAAGCTCTTTTAGACTCGTTAAACCGTGTATGAGACCACGCACCAGAGAGACGTTTTGCGCATTCTTTATGCAGCGCAGCTGCCCTTAAACCCAGAGCTTTCTGCAGCAGAAAGTTGTGTCACCCTCAAGCCAACCATAACACTTAAAGCACACAGATTGCTTCACTCTTCCAGGCTGTTTGCCAGCCTGCTTGTTAGGAGGAGCAAATAATCTGCAGCATTAGACAGCTGAAGAAGTACCATGTACTTTCTAAAAAATTGTGTAACAGAAGCCATGAACTTTCAGTAAGGGCAAAGACAGACTTACAGTAATGATTTCTGTGTTGGACGTGCAGTGGTGGGTGGGGAATTCCCAGCCATAGTTCTCCTTTCCAATTTCCTCTTCTGAGGGGGTTTGAATTGCTTATAAATACCCTCTCTGAGTCTGAGAGCACGCAAGACAAGCTCCATCTCTGTTAGCTTTGCCTTTCTGCAGCGGTGAGTGATGTTCTGAACTGGTGGGCTTGTATGCAGTGTTTTCAGCTGGTATTTGGGAACAGGATTAATGCTTTAGCATGCAGGCCTTCTCTGTACTCAAACGGAGAAGCAGGGAACGCTAAAATGCAACTTTCTCATGTCCATCTGCCTCTATTGTGGAGCTTATGATTGCACAGGGAGCATCAGACCTAGTGGAGGGAGAAGTGGGTTCCCGGGCTAGCCACCAGCTGTGGGTGTGATGGCTGCTACGGCAGCAGTCTCCCAACGGTGCTTCAGAAGTGCTCATCTCTCTGATTGTCTCACAGCTCCGTGCCGCACTTGGCCCTGAACCATGAGGCTCTCTGTCTGGCTCGTGTTGCTCTCCTGTGTCCTGTGTGCAAGTGCGGACCTACGGCAAGGGGGACGGTTTGTCTTGGATGCAGCGGGAGGTAAGCTGCTGCTGCTGCTGTCATCTCGTGCCTTTCCCTGAGAACCCCTTCCCTGAGCACAGGTCACCAGCAGTCAAAGGACGCAGACCTCGGAGCTGGGAGGTCTGCAGCTCCACATCAGGGATCCTGCTGGTTTCTGCTGCTGGAGGAAGGCCTTGACCAGCCCTCACAGACCCTTTCTGTGGGCACTCCCTGCTCAAAGGCTGACATTACGCTTTCGTCTTCCTGCTCATGAGGCCATTCAGCTCCTGGCTGAAATAGTACTTAACTGCTTCTGGCATGACTCTTTTCCAGCCAGTTTCACCTCTGTTTCTCTGCTTTCTTTAGGAGCATGGGATATGCTCAGAGCATACAAGGACATGCGGGAGGCAAATTACAAAAATGCCGACAAATATTTCCATGCTCGTGGGAATTATGATGCTGCTCGAAGAGGACCTGGCGGTGCTTGGGCAGCCAGAGTGATCAGGTAATGGAGTGTATTTGGCTTCTTAACAGGGAGTTACTGGGGTTCCCGCTTTCCAGGCAGAGCGCAGTCCCGTTTGACTTGTGCTCAGCCTTGGGCCTAGCGCAGGGGAGCAGAGGGGGTGCAGCTGGGGTCTGAACAGCCTGTCTCTCTGGTGGTGGCCCCCTCCTGTGTGAGCATCTTATTGTCTTCCGGAGAAGGCAGATTCCATACCTCTGCATTTCTGAGGATACGGAATTCTTTCTTTGCTGGCTCGCTTCCCGACATACGTTACAGGCTCCGCTGTGGTCCTCAGACAAGGACCAAGTATGTGCTTGCATCTCAGTTGGTGAAGTCTTGTGGCTCAGCCAGTTTTATGCGAGTGGGGAAACAAACACCGAGCGGAGCCCAATACTGGCTGGTTCTTCCCATAGCGACGCCCGGGAAAACTGGCAAAGCGGGGTGAGCGGCA